AAATCGCTTTAATTATTATAACCTCATAAGCTGGCAAGCAAATGTGCATTAATATGATTTTACAGGTTTTTAAAATTTATAAAAATACATGGACTCTATTCCTAGGAGTAAAACAGTCTTTCTTCCCACAGAGAAGCTCCAATATACATGAAATATTTTCCTAAATATGTGTTTTTGCTTTTAAAAAAATGTAATGGTCGATAAATATCTACTCTAAATTTGTATATGTTCTTCAAAAGCATTACTTTCTCTACGTATAGTTTATCATGGATTTTAAGCTGACAGACTATCAGCTTTGCTCACAAATGCCTGTTTGTCAGTGTTATCAGGAGATAATCACAGCTTCCGTTTCATTGAGTTTTTATCAAGTGCCCGGCACCATACTGCGCACCTCATGCTCCTTACCACAAGTTTTCAACGAGGAAACTAGAGCTAGGGGTGTAACTGACATGGCACAAGGGCTCAGCTAGTGGTGGGTGGAGCAGCGACCCTCACCAACTCCTGATCCCTTGCCTCGCCTGCCAGCAGCAGATGTCTGATGTTTCCCCTAGTCCCTTTGTTTTTAACATGTAACTTTAACTCCTCCTGGTACATTCATAAATTAGAGAAGGGGTCAGTGGAGTCACAGGGAATTGCTTTTCTTTAAAGGAGATAGTCACCTTCAAGTGAGGGTAAGTTTAGTTCAGGGATCAATCTAGAAAGTACTATTTGTAATGACCTTTGTTGGATGAGTTTGATATCCCCAGGCTAAGAACAAGGAAAACTGCCACGTACCATATTGTACTGAATTATTCCTATAGTATCTTACAGTTAGTTGTACTTAGTGTGTGTTAACATTTAAATTTTTGTATATTAGCACACAAAGTGAGCTTAAAATACTGAAATATTATGATGCAGATAAAGGGTTCGGGGGCGGGAGGTGATAGGCTGATCTATGATCTCCACATAGAGGAGAGCAGAGGGGAGGTGGCCACCATCAGAAGTCACACTCCGTAAGGGAGAGGGTGTTTTCTTTTTTTTTTTAACCTGCAGTTACATTAAGGAGTGGCTTTCTAGCATGTAACAGAGACCTTAGAAGTGTTGAACGTAAATTGCAGTGGAGAGCTTAAATAGGTTTCAGTCACTACAGTGTAAGATCACCCTTACAGTGATCGCTGTCATTTAAGTACTGTTTAAAAACTGATTTGTCATCATGCCAAATTAACAAAAGCATTTTTGGAAATTCAGAAACACAGCATGGGTTGGGTTGGGTTGGGTTTGGTCTCCCCATATACTTCCTTCTAGGATGCTTGTTTCTGCTTCTGGAAGTCATTTTGTCCACAAGGCTTTAAGATGCCTCCCAAAAATCCAGCCTGTCTATGCCATGGGTGGGATTTTCAACATTCTCTTTATATTGAAATAAAATAAAATATTGAAGAGAAAGCTTTAAGAAAAGCTCTAAAGGCTTGTTAACAGAGGAGAATTTGGTGGCTGGTACTGGTATTTAGCTGCAAGCTTATAGAAGATGTATCTCGAGTCCATCTGGGTTGGTCTAGGAGAGGCATGGTAAACTCAGGGTGAACTGAATCTGTAATTTCTGCATCTTCATGTATAATTATCTAGACTTCCCACATCGTGGAACAAAATTGGTATTTCTCTGTACACAGACCAGTGTCAGTTACGATCACCATTTTGTTGTCTTTCTTCCAAAGAAAAATTCACCAAAACAAGAGATTTGTTTTGGTTTATGTTTTTAGTGCACATTGGTTTGGAAAAGCTTCTAATAGTCAAAATCCTATCTGTGTAAAAATGGATTTAAAATAATTAGTAATCGTTCCAGTCCATGCAAAGACATACTATTAAAACTATTGATATCCCTGTCCTACATGATGAAAAATTACAGCTCTCATGGAGTCTGGTCTCTCTTACATTACATTGTTTTATATATGTAGAATTCTACTGGCTCATATTTTAGAGGAAATTCCAGATCTTTCAAAATTAAAAATCACAACTGTTACATTTCTATGAAAATTTTATTAGGATAAAAATCCCTTTAAATAAGAAAACCAAGTATCTCTTTACTTTTAAAATATTTCAGTTGTGTTAAGTTAGAATTATACTCATTTAATCTCATGCCCCTAAGGAAACCATTGTTATCATTTTAGTACATAGCTGCGTGAATGGACATTGTTAAAAAATTCTTGACTTCTTAAAACCCTATTCAGAAAACTAACTTAGGTAAAAGAGAATTATAGGCAAATGAAGAGCTGTTAGGACTGAATCTTAACGTATCAAAGTATATCTGCCCTTTTATTGCTCATGTCTATACATGTTGTTTTTACAGCCATGCATTGGTTTATGTACATGTCAGACATTTAGTTCTGTGCTGTCTATTACAGTAGCCACAAGCCACATGTGGCTGTGGAGCACTCGAAGTGTGGCTAATCCAAAGTGAAATGTGCTGTAGGTGTAATATATGCAGTGGATTTCAAAGACTGTACAAAAGGAAGAATGTAAAATATCTCAAGGAATTTTATATTGATTACATGTTACAGTGACAAATTTTAGATATACTGAATCAAAATATTATATTTAATTAAACTTGTTTCTGTCTTTTTTTAATGTGCTTGCTAGAAAATTTTAAATCACATTTAAAGCTTGCGTTTGTGACCCATGTCATATTTCAGTTGGACAGTGCTAGTCTAGATCATCTCTATGTGTACATAGTTATGTTTTAGTAATAGCATCATCTTCTCAGAAAATCCTATTGAATAACTTTTAACTTTAACCTCTGATTTTATTTTCTTACATTTCAAATGCTGTTTTTCCAACATCATCTTTTGATTTTTTTTTTTTTATCCCAATACAGCAATACTTTAAACTGCCTCTCCCTTTGATACTAGTAAGTCTCCTAGGAATTTAAATCAGCCTCTGTGAAAGCAATACTTGAGCCTCATTCATATGTTCAAGTTAGATCATTATTCCTAATAATGGGTTTAAGTGCTTAGATAGATCAGCACTTCGTGTCTTGAATTGCTTGTCATTTCTTTATAAAGATGTTTCAAGAAATTGCTCCATGCAATCCCTTATTTCATTGTTTTCTAGAAAAAAGTAACATAATCTTTTATTAGTTTGTTGCGAATCTGAAGAAAAGCCTTTTAAATATTAGCAAAAACAAAATGTATTTCCAGGTAGTGAGAATAAAGAGCAAAATTAGTCACGAATGATAGTCCTGCGGAAGTTAATTTTTTAAATAAATCATGAACGTGCTGGCAGACTGCCAGTGGCTTTCACCTCTATTTTATTTTCCCATTCTACTCGGGTCCAGGTTGTCATCAGCTACCACGAGGAAACCCGTGTAATTCCTAGAGAGAGAAAAGTTGCACTGTTAGACTTAATAGTACGGTAGTCATGGAAGCATCGGTTATCTTCATCAAGGCCATTCAGATTTGATTATTGTAGAACTGTGTTGAATACCAAACCAGAGGAGTAGTAGCTGGAGCTAAATCAAGGGATTGTCATTTTTGTCAGATGATTAGGGCTGACTTGGAAGAGATATGAAAGGGTTGAGCTGTGTAAATATTCTCTTTTCAGCAGAAAAAGAAAAGGTCCATCATGGCCATTAAGATGCAGCTTGTTAGCTTGATGAATTTCAAACTATTTAACCTTAGCAATTATATACCCCCTGCATACATACAAGTATATCAGTGCCTTGGGATTATTATGGCTCCAAGGATTGATATCAAAGCATATTGGTAATTTTCTATGAAGATAAAATGCAGCCTTTCTATGTCTAGGTAGATCTCTCAAAGAACAGGGCATGCTCTAATTCAAAGTCCTAGTTATTAATTTGAATTATAAGTTCAGGTAAACACTGGAACACATTTATATATAAGTTTCGTAAAACTTTTTAATGAAAAATGTATGTAGTTTAACATTTTTAGAGATGGTATTCGTTTAAGCTGTGATATTAACATACTTACTTTTATAAAGTAGAATTGGCTTAATTTTTATTTGCCTATGAGGTACTTGACACATTTAAATAGTAGACAGAGTAAGTGATAATAACATATTAGATAGAGACCCTGACCTCATGATCTCAGGACATTTCTATAATGTTTATGAATAAGTATCAAATGCAAGAAAGGCCAGCATATTGCTGTTTTTATGTGCATTGGTCAGTTTGCTTTTGCATTTGATGGCACCCTGCTAATATTTTCACTACCTGGGTACTGATTAAACTCGTATATAAGAATAGATGACATAGAAATTTCTAACTTTAAAAGAACTACTCAATTCTAAAATAACAGATTCATTTTTGGAGAAGGACTTGGTGTGCCATCTAGTGGGCATATTTGGCATTCTGGTTATCCAAAACTGACAGGGATTTTTACTCTCCTTCCAAAATGCAGCTTTCTTAACACTTCGTATCTCTCAGGCCTTAAGGGTAGACTGTGCTTGTGTTACATCTCGTGTAATTTTTCAGTTTTGTCAGAATTTGATTTTACTGTATTTTGCAAAGTCATATTAAAAGCAATCAAAATGATCAGAAATAAATCACTTATCTTGAGCACTTGGAAATGTGAATTTATATAGACTATAGAATATAATTCTGTAGTCTATGTAGAATATAGAATATACACTTATCTTAAGTACTTGGAAACGTGAATTATAGAATATAGAATTGTTGAATCATTATATTGTACACCTGAAACTAATACAACACTCTGTAGTATTAAGTGTACTTGGGAAAAAAAAAAATCTAATGACAGGAATAAATCTATGTAAATTTTGAGACAGGTAAAAGTAAAAGATAAAAAATAATTTCATTGTTTAATCAGGACTAAGATCATTTAAGGTAAAACTTCAACTATGAAAGCAAAACCCAAGCACACTAATTATTGAACTTCATTATTATATGTATTTTTTCTGAAAGAATATAAAAACAATTGTTTTTGTCCTTGTATGTGTTAATGTGTAATTTAAATAGCTTTTTACATTAAAATTTTTCTTTTCTATAGAGAAATCCAAGACCAGTGACTTACCAATTCCATCCAAATTTAGATTATTACAAAGCACGTGGAGCAGACCTCATGAATAAAAGCCGGTAAGTCCTCTTTCTTGAATGATGAAAGTTATGAGCCACAAAGATGTTCTCTGAGATGGTCAGGAATTTTTACACATTTGCTGACAATAAATTTATGGATTTTAGCATATCGGTGGTTAATGCATGCAATGACATCTCTACTAAATATCTGAGTTTTTTTTAAGGCATGAGAAAATGCATACATTGCTGTCAGTGGTAAGAAGAAAAAGTAGAGTATTTGTTATAATTTGAAGTTAGACAACTTCATTTTTCTAACACTAATAAACCTGAATAAATTGTGCCTACTTGTATAATGTCTTTCTAGATCCTTGCTGTTGATTGAAAAGAGGCAGTTCTATAATATATTTTTAAATTATTTCAGTAACAAAATTAAAATTGGGTTTCCCAACTGTCTTTAGAGCTACACAATAAGCTTATAAATGCATCTTGTGTGTGCATTTGTGATTATATACATAGAAATTTTAAGGGTCACTGTAGGAATAAAAAAACATTAAAATTCTACTTTTAAAAGAAATTAACATTGGCATAAGGGGTTGATGAGCAGTTTTGTTCTTTCATAATACTGTACTCAGATGTCTCAAGAGTTAACTTGTCAAACCAGAACCATCTCAAATTAGAATGTAATTTCAAAGTTTACGCTGGAAGAATAAAATGTTAGTAATGATAAATGCTGCCAAGTTGTCCGAATTTTTTTTCCTTAAGCATTTTGCCTGTATGCTAGCTTTTCTTCAGTAGGATTCCAGCAGCCTAAATATACATTTATGGAGTACATACATACTATGTGTTCTGCTCTTACTTGGAGAGTTAAAAAGAAGTCCTAATTCTTGCCACATCGAAACTCATAGTCTGGAGGGTGAGAAGTTTACAAGAGAGTGGCTAAATTTAAACTTGTGTCTTGAACCCTGTTTTAGTGTAATACGATTTTTAAGTGACCCATCCTTGATGGAAATCCATCACATTTTAATGTGCTGTGTCATTGTGATACCGGCTCTATGGCCAATGAGGCTTCTCTGAAGCTCTTCGGTTTGTTCATTTCATCAGATTCTTGTTTCACTAATGAAAGGATCTTCTCCTTAGTCACTTTGTTCATTTAATTGAACAAATTTTTATTGCATGCAAGATTTTCTTTCCTGAGTGAACAAACCAGATAAAACTCCTGCCCTCAGGAATCTTACAGGGTAGACACTCGTATTTCTATTCTACTCTATCATGTCAAATATTTAGTTTAAGTATGTTTAAAAGAACACAGTATTTTTAGGTACTTTCTTTATACGAGATCTTTCTAGCTAGAATCCCTTCTTCGCTCCCCTACTCTCCCCAACCCCAGCACCATTTTAGTTTTCACGTAACAGCCAAATAACTCTCAGTTGACAACAGAGTCTGTCACACCCCAACATAAATGCCTCCAAAGGCTACTTGAAGTGTTGACATGTTCTTCCTGGGTCCATTTTCTATCTCTGTGACCTTCACTCCTTCCACTGTCCCCTTCTCTTAATTTATGCTTGCACTTGCTCTTCCCTGTTCCTGGAGCAACCTTCTTTCCCTCTTTTCTTTCTTCTGCATGATTTAGAGCTCAGCCCAAAGGTCACCTCACAGAGGCCCCTTGGACCTTCCTCTTGTTTTTTTCTCTTCTGCTCACTCTTTAATTCGTTGCCCAGTCTTACTTTCATAGTGTTCATTACTCACTGAAGTTACAGACTTCCTTTATGTGTGTCATCTGACTCCCCAATTTCCCCACCAAAATCTAAGCCTTTGACAGATGGCACGTTATCTTACCGCTTGAGAGCACTGAGGATAATGGCTGGCATGGGGAAGTTACTCAACAAAAAAAGTGTGTATACATGTTATCTTTTTACATTTTTCAATGTCTACTTTTTTTTTTTCCAAAAAAGGAAATGGGTTATACCCTTTCCTTTCTACCCTTCATATTTTATCTTTCTTCTATTTAGCCTTCCGTCTTTGCATTTTTCTTCTCAAAACGTTGGTTCTGTTTTAGCAGTTCCTTATACACACATTGCAATTCTTATACATAGTATCATTGTGATGATTGGAAGGAAGGTTTTTCACCAGCTCCGTTGTACTTTCAGACTGAACCAAATGGAAGGTATATGTGAAGAACTGAACCAAATTGAACCAAATGAAAGGTATATGTGAAAACATACCACAGACCAGTGAGAGAGTTAGTAAATGATGTTGGGAAGCCTGACAAATCTTTTGAAAGAATATCAACTTATAACATTATCATACACCAAAACAAATTCCAACTGAATCAAAGTACACTCAAGCAAAAGTAGAAATAAAATGCAAGTGTCTGTCTGATCTCTGGTTATTAGAAGACTTTTTAACCTTAAAAATAAGGGGAAAAATCACGAAGGGAATGGTACATTTTACTACACAACTATTTTTAAGTAGATATGTCAAAAATAAAATAAACTGATTCAAAAAGCAATTTTTTTCCAGTTGGAAAATTGGAAACATTTATGTAGTGTAAGTAACTGACAAACTAGTATCATTAATGTATACAGAACTTATGCAGTTCAGTAAGAAACATGAGATCCTATCTCATTGGCCATTCCATCTCATGCCGTGCTCTGTTGGATCCTCCTTTTCTGCTTATAAATTTTAGAACACCCCCCAGACTTCCTTTCTTCACTGTACTCATTCCCTAGATGAGCTCAGTCCAGGTTCATGGCTTTAAATACCATTTATGACTGAAGGGTCCTTAATTTACATCTTTAATAAGACCTCTTCCTTTGAACTCCAGACTCTTGTGTTCTACTGTTTACTCAGTATTTCCTCTGGGATGTCTCACATGTATCTTGAATTTAATACTTTCCAAACTAGACTCTTGATTGTACCTCCTCAAACTGTTATTCCCCTGTGTTTCGCTATTACAATAAATAGCCAATCCAGTTGATCAAACCTTAGAATTGCCCTTGAATTGTTCTCTCTTACATCACACATCAAGACCATCAGCAAATCCTCTTCAAAATATATCCTGAAAGAAATCACCTTTCCCTGTGTACTCCTAATACCAAGTCACCACTAGTCTCTTAACTGATCTTTTTACTTTCTCACTTCTTTATAGACCTTTTCCATATAGCAGCCGGATATATGTAAGTCAGATCCTATCACTCTACTACCCAGAACCATTCAATTAATGACCTGCAGGGTAAGCCCTACGTGATCTGGCCTCCAATCTTTCCAACCCCATTTGCTACCACCATTCTTCCTCTTTCTCACTGAACTCCAGCCACACTGGCCTGCTTACTATTCCTCAAGCAAACAAACATGTTCCCACTTCCGGAGCTTTGAGCTTGCTTTGTGCTCTGTGCCTGGATTCTTCCTCAAGGATCCACATGGCACATTACTCTGTGTTCAAATATCATCTCTTCAAAGAACCTCTCTTTGACTACCCTATCTAAAATAATGGACCCCTTTACTCTGTCTCTTTACTTTGTTGTTATTTTTGTTTTTGTGTTTTTTAGCAATTCTTATTACCTGAAGTGGTTAAAAAAAATGATTGGGGTTTTTTATTGTTTTTATAGTTTGTTTCTTGCACTGAAATGTGAACTGTCTTGTTAACTGTTAATACCCCAGCACCTAACATAGTGTCTAGAAGACAGTAGACACTACTAAAAGAATTTCAAACAGCAAATAAACATTTAAAAGGCTACTCAACCTCATAATTAGTCATAGAAATGCAAATTAAAATACCAATGAAGTATCATTTTCACCTTTCATATTAGAAAATTAAAAATAAATGAGCCAGAGATGAATTAGTCCCAGAGATCTACTGTATAGTGCCTATAGGTAATAATAATATATTAATTAATATATATTAAACATTTTCTAAGAGGGTAGATCTTATTTTAAGTGTTTTTATCACAAAAAGTAAAACAATGAGCAATAATAGTAAAGAGGGAGAGTGAAAACTTTTGGAGGTGATATGTTAATGGCATAGATGGTGGTGATGGTTTTACATGTGTTTACTTATCTCCATACTCATCAGGTTGTACACATTAAATATGTACAGCTGTTTGTATGTCAGTTATACCTCAAGAAAGTGATTTAGAATGAATGAATGAGTGAGTGAGTGAGTGAGTGAGTGAGTGAATGAATGAGTAAGCTAGCACTGGTGAAGGTACATGAATACCCTTAGTCACCAATTGAAGCATAAATTAAGACAAACTTGATAACCTTTTTTTTAAAGATTTTATTTATTTGAGAGGGAGATCACAAGCAGGAGGGAAGGGTAGAGGGAGAAGCAGACTCCCCACTGAGCAGGGAACCTGCTGTGGGGCTCCATCCCAGGACCCCAGATGATGACCTGAGCAGAAGGCAGATACCTAACCGACTGAGCCACCCAGGGGCCCCAAACTTGATAATCTTGCTGAAGAATTCTTCCAGTTCTTTATAACCACCAGGTAATTCCCTGGAGGTTTGCTTATCCATGATCAAAAACCACTGTAGCTGTGAAACCACTGGTAAAGTCCTCATTTCCTTATTTAAGACCCAAGATCTTATCTGGGTCTTTTATCTGGCTTTTATCTGGCTGAGCCCTTCAGCGATAATTAACCTTGCAACTACTTTCTTAGCTGTTTAGAGGCTCTTAAAGAGTTAATGCCTTGGGGCTGTCATGAAGCAGCAAGAGAGGGAGTGGGAATGATTGGGGGGGCATATGCATGCAGGAACCCCCAGAAGTGATCAATAAATAGAAAACAGACAGGAGACAGGCAGACACCTGAAAAGCAGGGAACTAATACCTGCTATATCTATGGCAGTGGACTTCTATTTGTGTTGCTTATCCAAATAAGGGACGAGGATGCAAAGATGACATGTGATTTCATGGATAAGAATATCTCTAGAAATCAAGAAGCCTGATTTCTCGTCTCTGCTTTACCATGGATTGCTATAATTAAGTCTTTAAAAGCAAGTGCCTAGGTATTTTAGTGGTAGATTTTCCATTACGTGTGTGGATAATATTCACTGTGCTCTGA